AAGTTATGTAAGGTTTTGGACAGATTTTGGACTTTTTGCTGTGGATTCTGGAGGCCAGCAGTTTCAGGCTTAAAAACTCTAAACTGTGTAGGTTTTCTGTTTTCTCTGTTTGTCTGCAGAAACCCTAAGTTCTTTCAAAATATGTGTCCAATCTTTCGTTGGTAAGTCACAGGTTATAACAACCAACAATGGTTGCATTCTGTGTGGGAAATACATCCTGTCAAAGTGGGTCTGGCCTTGCTGAGGAACTGAGATGTCATGTTCTTCTGCACATGGTGATTCTTTGCTTTAACTACAGCTTTTCCTTCTGTCTTACTGTGTTCTTCCTCTTACCCTGCCACCAGGAAGGAAGGATACTTTCATGGAGGAATGTGTTGTTGGCAGCAAAGAATAATTCTGAGGCATGAAGACATTGCAGGGCTTTTCTACATAGGAGTTGTTGAGGAGAAAAAAATAATGTGGATTTAAAGCCAAATCACCCTTTGGAGATGACTTGGAGCAGATGACATCATCATATTTTCAAAAATGAGGTTGCCCTCCAGCTTTTCAGCTGCTTGTCATGGGTTTGGAAGAAATTACTCTAATCCTGAACTGTAACCATCTCTTTATCAAAAGCTTCTGCCAGAGCAAGGTCATTCATTGTTCTTCCTTAATTTCTTTCTTTCCTCAGGGTGCAGTTTTAATGTTTCTGTATTGGAAAGGTCAGAAGTTACTGTCTTACTCATTATTTTGTTCAGCAATGAATGCTTCCACTGATACTTGTCTAGAATGACCAGGCTAGTTGAGAATTGCTGATGAGCTGACTAAAAAATGTTGAAAGCTCCTCTTCCTAGAATCGAAGTCTTGCTTTTGTTTTTTCATTTGTGCTTCATAATGGGTAAATTATGAGGTCTAAAAGAGTTTCTTAAATTATTTTTGTGCTCATTTCACTATACACAAATGAGACTTTAAATTCATTCTCCCCCTTCCTTGCTAGTCTTATTGGAGGTTCTACATCTTTCTTGGATGTAATTTATTATGAAAACAAACATCTGGAAAACTGGTCACTTCTATTAATAATAATATTAAGTTAATTTCAAAGTGTATTAGTGAAATAGCTTGAACTGGCTAACTAAAATCCCTTCTACTTAGCAGGGAACATGAAAGGTTACAGGTTATTAGGGCATTGCCTTTTAATAAATTCCCTGACACCACAGTCTTCTAATTTAGGCAGACTATAAAATTTTAACCTAAATAGAATATTGACAAATAGGAGAAACTTCAACTAATAGAACTCTAAGCATCTCATCATCAGTGACTGGGAGCTGGTGCCTTTCCCCCTGTACTTGGTATTCATCCTGATTAATACAGATCAGTGGAGGGAATTTGGTAGGGAACTGTTAATATCCATATAGAGCCAATTAAAACATTTTATGAATGGGATCTATACACTAAATGACATATATTTGACTTGATTTGGGTTATAGAACAAATGAAAAATCAAGGACTTTGTTTGCCACAATGCATATTATGTAGTCATTTTATATTTTACATAGTTGTTATATAACATTTCTATTTGATTTGTTACTGCTTTGTGTTGTTCACCAGTCTGCACAAGTATGTTACTAATACTAAATGCAAGCATTTAGAGTTCTTAAGGGAGAAATCTTCAGATTCATTAACACAACTCTTACTTAAATGAAAGTTTTATTTCGTAATTAAGTCTACAGTTTCCTTCATCATGTTTTTAAAATCACTTCTAGAAAATGCTTCTGACCTTGAGAATTGTCAGTGAATTTTGGGGGGTGTTTTGTGGGCTTTGTTTTGTTTCCACGATGAGATTAATAGGGTTTACTGTACCTCTTATCCAGAATACAAGGCAGGTGCCCATTAGGAAAGAGAGTTTTGTGTCAGCAGTGATTCAGTGAACTTGAGTATGGAACAATACTATTTGATAATATCAAAACACATCTCCATCTTCATGTGGTTTGCTGAGTGCACAAATCAATTGAAAGTGTTTTTATCTTTGTGATATCCTTAGTTGCTGCACCCACTAGGATGTCAGAGGCTGATTGTTGGGGGTTTTCTATTGAAAAACCCTGTAGTGTTTCTGCATGTGCCTGCAATCACTTATTTTTCTATTCAGTTTTCTGTAGCTGGTTTCACCTCGTGTAAAAATGGAAAATGTTATGTTTTCCTTCTTGAAACCAAATGTCTTGAGGATTTATCTTCTTGACCTAATTCAAAAATATGCTTATTATTTCACAGGACAAAAGCAAGGATGTTTCACTTAGCCATGGCACATAATTGTCTGAGTGAGTCAGTGTAGGGGGATGCACCACACATCATGACCTGTAATTCTCATTTCTCAGTAATTTCAAGTTGTTCTTGAGAGTACTGTATCCACACATCCCTAGCAACATGGTCACTCAGCTTTTTTAAACCTCTTTTCCCATGTGATCTTAGTCATTGCCTTCTTTCCCAGATGAGCTCTTTTACTTTTCATTGTTGTCGATCTAGGAGTTCTTAAACTTAAATAATAACACTTAACTGTTTGTTTTTCCAAATTTCTTCTGAAAATGAAAAATTGAAAGAGAATTGTTTTAAAAAATATTTATCTACCTCCTGCCACTAAAGTAGCAGTTTATCAAGTAGAATACAAAGAGGAGCTAATGGGAAAAATTGCTTTCAGATAATAACTCGGGGCTCTGTTTTAGTTTAGTAATAATTCTCACTTAGACTTGGGTGTAACTCCAGCTGCTCAGCTTTTGTACAGAACAGAGCAGTATTATCTGGTGTTGCTTGCATGAGAATTCAGAGGTCCTCAGGCTGCTTTTTTTTACCCATGGTTCTCCCAGTTTTGTGAATTATTTGTGAAGCAGCCTTCTGAGAGAACACACGTCCTGTGGATATGTTCTTCCCAAGAACATGGGGAGGAGATGCTGGGAGCAGAGCAAGGACTGTTCAGGAGGTACCCAAGTAGGGTTTGAAGCTTGGAGAGGCATGAATGAGAGTTTTTTGGGGGGAAGGCGTTTGTTTTATCAGGAACCACTGTGCCGAGGACAGTTACTCAATGAGGGCTTGAGAGATGAAGCAGTTTTATTTGGAGAGTGTGGGGCTGTTACTAACAATGCCTTTTGTCTCTCAAGACTTTATGATCCATCATCTTTGGCAGAATTTGTGCCACTTCTATATTCAAACAGGTCTCGAACCATGGGGTTTTAAGCTGTAGTTGTAATGTGACCTATGAATATTCTTCTCAGCAAGCAGCAGCAAACCAGCTCTGGACCAGACTTGAAATGTCTGGGTTTCCAGCAGTTTTATTTATTCTTTCCTAAACAAAAGTGACTTGATCACTATTTAGACCTTGTGGGTATCTGTTATTATTTAGGTATATTAAAAAAGCATGTGTGTTGTTCCTGTCTCTTCTAAAAGTAAAACAGGTCCGCAGAAGTTAGAAAGCCAGCAAAGAATTCATTTTGTCAAAACTAGGAAGGATTAGATATGAAAACATGAGGAGGAGATCTAGCCCAAATATCGAATTAGAGGAGTGAACTGCACAGGTGGAAGGAGAAGATAGAAGAGTAAAATATTGCATGAAAGAATAGCTGGTTTCTCCTCCTTAGCACATCCAATAGCTGTAGGAATGTGCCCCCTGTTGACGGAGTGACAAAACTATCCTTTGTCTCCTGAAAAAAGAAAAAAGCCCAGAAGTTTCTCTCCTCAATTAGGTAGAAAGACACCTCATAGCACCTTGGGGACTTCACCTCAAACTTAAGGATAGCAAATTGGACGGAAGCCCGAAAGTCCCGCCTAAGTAATGTACTAAAAAAAGAAGAGAACAAAGGAACTAATGACTTTTGTGAGGTGTTTTACCACGAGCAAGAACCTCTTGTCCTGGCTCAATTTTTCTCTGTAAAAAGCTTTGTTATTTTGCCTTTCATTAAAACTTTTCTGTTTTCAACACAGCCACAGAAGCCATCTTGCTGATTTTATGCCATATGAGGTAGCTGAGCTATCTCAGGTGTGATATAAATATCCAAGAGCCTATAAGACCTGGCTTGAGGAGACCCTACATCAAATAGCTTTTCCTCCATCCATGATCCGTACCTGCTGTGGGTGGGAGTTTGGGGCTCTCTGACTGAGGGAAGGGTGTCAGGAGGGAAACTTCTCTCAAATATCTCGCACATAAAAAGTGCAAGAACCACTTTGTTAAAGCTGTGGTTCTTCAGTGTGTGCTGTTTGGTAGATAAGGGCTATACATGACATCTCATAGTGGTAGAAGACACATACAAAAGTAGGAATGCTTTTAATACTGATTGGATCCAGCTGTGAAAAATGCGTATTATATGATTGGCTTTTCGCAGATATTAGAATGAATATTATATGTGTTGTGTTAGAAAGTAATGCTATATTAATTCTCTTAAGTAGTGTATTAAATACAGTTTTAGGTTATAACAAAGTGTTAAAATAGAAACTATGCTATGTAGGATGCTTTTTTCCTAAAGAAAGGACTCGCACTGAGATAGCAGCCACAGGACACCTAAATCTTTCAGAGAAAGAGAATTTATTGCTCCATTGTCAGGAGAAATGAACTTCTTCCCTCCTCGCTCGGGCAGGATCACACCGTTAGGATTATGAGGAAAAAGTTCATGATGACCAGACAGAATCCTGTGTTTGAATGGAATTTATGCATCATGTATGAAGTGTATGAATATGCAACAGGTTATTGTTTTTAAGGGTTAATCCTCTGTTAACATGTGTCCTTTTTCGGGTTTATGCTGCCCAGAAAAAGGTACCCAGATGTCCGTAACTCTTTGTTTCTATTGTCTCATATTGTCCTAAATCAAATTGCCCAAATTATTATTACTCTAATTGTATTACTATTTTTATAACCATTTTATTACTATTAAACTTTTAAAATTTTAAACCAAGTGATTGGCGTTTTTCACACAGCTGTGGAGGAGACATTACTTGGATTCAAGCTGAGCATCTCTGATGTTTTTTGTCTTTCACACCAGCTCTATGTGGCCACTGAAGCCATCCTCATCGCATTGGTGGGGGCAACTCCTCCCTACCAGTGGGATCTCCAGGGGCTCTCTGCTAATGAGAGCCACGGCAACCACTCAGTGAGCGAGCAGGGAGCTTTTGGGGAATGGCTTCTGACTGCCAACAGCAGCGAGGTGCGTAAGCACGTACACTTCGGCAGCAACTTCACATCCATTGTCTCTGAGGTGAGTCTGAGATGTGTTTTGCAGTCTCATGTGTGAGTAGTAAATCTTACTGAGATGGTTTTGGGGGTCTCTTTGTACTGCTTTTTTCTTGCATACTAATGGATGTTTTGATTAGCAAATAAAATGTGCTACCTCCAGCTAGAGCCCAGGTAATGTGCTCATGTCTTTACTGGCAACAAAAGCTAGCTGTATGTTGCTATGCAGATCTTGATCAGTGTTCTGCTCCAAAACTTCCCACCTTTTCTGTATGGAGGTTAGATATTGCATCCTGCAGCCTGGTTTCACATTTGAGCTGGAATCATGACATTCATTTTACTATTTTACATTTTACTATTTCATTTTACTAATTTGCTCAAAATCCTTTATGGACTCTGAGCTCTTTCTGGCCATCCCCTTGCTGAGCTCCAGTGCATGTAGTGCATCCATCATGCAGTTAGCAAGCACTGGAGGAACTGGAGAGGATGTGGTTCCTGCAGTTTTTGCAGTTCCACACGCAAGAACATGGGCAGTGGGGAGTCAGGTGGACAAAGCAGATCCCTCCCATTCTACTCCAAAACAAGCTTTGGCTTTGTTGGCACGACCTCTGTGTTTTTTAAGTGATTTCTTTCATGGTCTAACCATAGTCCCTACAGGAATGATTCCAGACTCTGCACTGATGTGTGCAACACCTGCCCTTCCTGGGTCTGTCAGTATCTGTTAATGTCAAATTTCTCTTTACGAGAGCCCTGAGTGCATTGGTTACAAGGCCTGAATGTAGAGCTGAACTGTGGAGTCAAGTGTAGTACCACCTGATAGTTTGTGGCTACTGTCCTGAGGTATTAATGCTATCCAAATTACTCCTGTAAAGCAGTTTATTGGTTAGGAGCATGTTAATAAAAATGGCCAGCTTTGGAATAGTACCAAGTCTTTGTGTACAAAAGGCATTGCTTCTTATTCTCTCAGTAAAGAGGATATGAGTACTTATGATACCATTTAAATTAAAATTTTAATGGATGGTGGATTTCTTAAGCATTATTTAAAATTCAGTAAGGTTTTTAAATTTTCTCTGGGGTTTTTCTTTTTTGTTTTTTTTTTTTTTTTAACTTGCCCAAGAATCTTTTACTCTCTTAAACTTGACGAGTCAGACATGCTTGTAGAGCCTAGCATATGACATAGATTTTATACTGATCTTTATACATTTTGGTTGCATAATTAAGAAATGCTGGTAAAGAACAAAGCCTGCTTGAGCAAGAAAAAACCCTAAAAATCTCCCCAACCAAAAAAAAACCTGAAAAACCCCAGCCTCAAGGCAACTTGTGTAGAGTCTGCTTTCTAATTCTTTAGCATATGTTTCAGTAGAGGCCCATTTGAATAAAATCTTCACACCACTTCTGTTTCCCTCTATTAAAGTACAGTTTTTATGAATTTTTTAGCTAAATATTTGGTGTATTTGGAGGTTATGTGCTAAGCACAAGCATTTTGAGAGAGAACATACATAGCTGGAAAATATTTCACCACTAATTCATTATTAATCTAATTTCATGATTGATTGTAAAGAAGTTTTTTCCTACATTGAAAGAGGACGTGTCAGTGCTTAACCTTGTGGCATCACTGATACCATGACCATTACAAATTTACAGTGAAAAAGATTGCAAAAAGCTTGGTTTCTGAATAATATATGTAGCATGTTTTTATGTAGAAAAGCCTTGAGCTCTCTAAAGGGCTTAGACATTGAGATAAATCTTGAGAAGAAATTTTGCTTTACAACCAAATTATCCCTTAATCCCTGAATGATTCAGAAAGTGTTTCACATCAACAATTTTCATATTGGCAGCTTTTTTAATTTTTATGCCAAAATTTAGGGCATGATTCTTGTAGCTGTTATAAAACAAACTGACCATGTTATTCCAGGGTGAAATTAATCTCATATGCAGTTGTTTTACAAATGCATTTTTCTGGCAATTGTTTTTGAAGTCTGCAGAAGTTTCAAAAGCTGCTTTATGGTCATATGGTTGGTTTCAGTTGAATTTTGTCAGTCTTGACACTTTATGGATGCATTTCCTACTATTATCAGTAACTACCTTCCTGTTAAAGTAACAATTCAAAATGAAGCAGATAGAGAAAGTAAGCAAGTTATTTTCTTGGAGCTTATGAATGATGTTTTGTTAGCATCCTAATCTTTGTGAGGTTTAATTGCATGGCTCTGTTCTCATGATGAGGTAGTTTATAACTGAGCTTTGAAATAATATAAGCTTTGCTAGAGAGGATATTTAATGAGATTTTGGTAGAGGAAGAGGAGATTATGAGGAGAAGATTAGAGAGTTATTGCAGGGATAATGACATAATCACCAGCTTACCAGCACAGGAAGAAGAGTTGGTTGTCACTAAAAGGAAACATTATCTCAAGGTGCAAGAGGAATAGTAAAAGAAAAGAACAGAAGATGTGGAGTGTTTAGAATACAAAAGAAAATAACTTTTGTACATTGACAGCATGGCGTATTTTCATTCTGCACTTCTGTGGGTCAAAAAATTTTGTTAGGTTCAACTTGAGACATTAAGTCTCTAAGAATCAAACATTTCAAGATGTATTTGTATTGGAATTGAAGAGAACTGGAAGTGATGAAGTACACTGTAAAAAAGATGAGTGTGTGCAGAAAACCTGACTAGCCTGCTACCAAAGTATTGCTCAGGGACAAGACAGTTCATAAAGAGGAGAATGTGCAGGAGTATCTTCAGACATAAAGCACAACTATTTTTTCACAATGTGTATTCTGCACACTGCAGTGACACGTGTCAGTAGGTAGATCTGAATCGGTTTAGGTAAACAGCTTTATGTAAAAGAAGGCAGAAGAAGGAAAGTGGGAGAAAGCTGCAAAAATTAGAGTGTTGTGAGGAATCTGTTCTTGATTTCAGAACCAAAGACTGCATTTGATTTGGGAGAACTGTGATTATTAGTATCCTGCAAGGAGTATGGGAGACAGCAGTGGGGACTGATGATTTACTGAATATGATGCTTAGGAGATTTATGAAGAGTTTGATCTTCTTTAAAATTTGTAACATCCCCTCCAGCTATTAGCTGTTGGTGAACTGTTCGGATTCTGATTAATTTGCTTTTTTGCTGGTTTGTTGTTTCTGGTTTTTCTTCCCCCTCCATCCAGTGGTTTTTAATTGGCAATGCATCGTACAAAGTCAGTGCTGCCAGTTCTTTCTACTTCAGTGGTGTGTTTGTTGGAGCCATCTCCTTTGGGCAGCTGTCCGATCGCTTCGGGAGGAAGAAAGTCTATCTCACAGGTAACCCCTCGACAGCATTAATGGCACGAAGGTGTCGTGTCCCTGAAGATCAGTGGCAGCAGCCCAGTTCCTGCTGAGAGCTTGATATGCAGCTGTAAATCATGTGCTGTGGTTTTGTTTGTTTTGGCATTCCAATATACTTGTGCCATAGAAGTTGAGATGACAAATCAATATTTCACTGTTCAGTCACCATTTGGATTTCTGCGAGGTGTTCTGGGTTTGTGAGTCACACCGTAAAAGGCTTTCACTCGTGCAACATTGTGCTCATGGGATCTCTGCAAGTTGCAATTAGTATGTTTAGTAGTTTTATAACAGCATTCTTACCTGTATAACCTGTTAGGAATTTGTTGCATGTTTTATCCCCTGTCTGCATGATTTAATTTTTATATATTTGTGATCCTCATACTGTTTTGAAGCTCATAAGCTTTCTAACTATCCCCAGATGAAACAGCATTTAAAACTGCATGTTTTGTGTATGTATAAAGTTGTGAGTCAATACATGAGCATGTAGAGTTTAAATAAATGTTTTATGCTTTTTGTTTTTCTTTGAAGGAACAGCACTCATTCAAAGCACAAAAAGGTGGGCCTGCTCTCTGTGCAAACCCATCATGTATTGTTCCCTGGCAATGTTTCTCTTCTCTGGTTTCTATACATAGCTCTCTAAAAATGAGGGGGATATTTGGTCATATACTTAACCTGTGGCTTCTGTATCGGGGATAAATATAAAGCCATCTTTAACAGGAGTCAGACAATGGTTCTGGCTGTATAAAAAAACTGTGTGCTATGAACTGAATTTAAAGGTTCAAACTGCAAACTATGTATCAGAAAAGCACTCCTTCTGTGTCCCCTCCTTTTGGATATTGACTCTAGGTATTTAAATTTCTTTCCAAACCTGCGATGGTGGTTACTATGATGGCTTAGGACAGATGCCACTGGGCATCAAGTAAAGATACCAGTAACTGCTTCTGTTTCTTTAGGTACCCTTCTAACATGAAACTTTTTGCTTTGTTTTCCAGGTTTTGCACTTGACATCTTGTTTGCCATTGCAAACGGATTCTCACCCTCGTATGAATTCTTTGCCGTTTCCCGATTCTTGGTAGGGATGATGAATGGTGGGATGTCCCTGGTAGCCTTTGTTCTGCTGAATGAGTGTGTGGGTACAGCCTACTGGGCATTAGCAGGTAAACTGCCTTTATTGTCAGAATTTATAGATTTCAATCTCACACACCACTTGAGGCATACAAAGCAGTTGCAAATTTAGCTCTGCTTGAGCGTATCTGTGATCACAGCCTTTGAACTCTGCTTGTTTAATATGAACCTTGGACAAGCAGGGCAGATGACTTGGGGCCATTCAGATCTCTGCATCACTCAAGTTGACAAAGATCCAGCTGAAACCTCTCCCATGAATGTTACTAGCTAAATACTCATCCAAGGTTTGTCACAACTGAGCTCTACTAATCAGAATGTTGGACTCTGCTGAACACAGGCAAGTGTTCGTACTCTACATATAAATTGTTTCCTTCCTGGCGGTTTTTAAAAAGAAATCAGAAGTGTTTTTATATCATAGGAGGATGTGAAAACTGTTGCTGATATGTTATTAAAAAAAGTTGTACCATGTAGTAATTGCCCTTGGAATTTAGAAGATACAGACCCTCTTAACTGTTTTGATTGCTAGTGTTGGACCTGTCCTTCAGAAATGTGTGTAACCTGTACTGCTACTGATGCCTTGTGAAGGCTGGCCTAGAACAGAGGCTAGATGGAGTTAAAGAATAAAGTAGGTATTTATTAAAAGGCCTCAATAAATACCAGGGCTACACCCAAGGTGAACCAAAACGGTCACAAAAATGGACGACCGGTCACGGGGTCTCTCACTTTTATAAGTTCTCATCCATTTGCATATTGGAGTGCATTGTCCAACTATAGCTTTAGGTTATAAGTCCCATCTTGTTTTTCTCTTCAGTCCACTGCTTTTTGTGCTCTTGGGCCTGAGATTTGGATCAGTGGTCCTCGGTCCCAAGCTAGAAAAGGAATTGTTTTGTCTAGCTATTCTGTGAAGAGAGCTTACCGTGCCTTAATATAGAGTTCAGAACTACATACTAAAGCAGTACAGAATCAGAAAAATATGAAAGCTAAAACCTAAGGCATCACTAGAGCTCCAGGGCCTGACTTAGAAAACTCAAGAAGTGCTATGCTGAGCCTGTTTTAAAATAGGGTGTCTTATTTATAATGGAAGCTGTAAATGAATGCTACATATTCCTAAAACTACCAGGTTTTCAATGTTTTTCAGTATTTATTTTTACACATAGAAAGTTGCATACTTATGCTGCATACATACACATATTTGGAATTAGATGACTTCATTTTTCACGAGGCTTTGTTGGGTGTGGAGGATGTGGAAAGGGCTTTTATTGATCTTTGTAATTAGATGTAATACTTCTGCTCTGCATGAATGAAGGCCAGGGTGTTCTTTGGTTAAAGAACTGTGGTTTTGCCTGAGTTGCTGAATGAATTGTTATTAGTAAAGAGTTAGTTCTTGTCTGATCTCATTTGTTGAGATTTACTAGTGTTTCTTACAGAAGTGATAATGTTTTGTTTTGTTTTGTTTTTACTTGTGTGTTAGGTTCTATTGGTGGCTTGTTCTTTGCTGTTGGAATTGCCCAGTATGCTTTATTAGGGTATTTTGTTCGTTCCTGGAGGACTCTGGCTGTTGTGGTTAATCTGGAAGGAGCAGTCGTCTTTCTCTTCTCTCTGTAAGTTGTTCAAACTGAGTTTCATAAAGAAAGATGTCAAAAAAAAAATCAAACAGAGTACCCAAACTATTAAGTCAAGTTGCCTTTCTACGATGGCATGAAATGATGTAAATAAGGTATTTCTCTCAACTTGTACACATCCCTCCTCCCCACATGGTATGTGGTTTCCTCAAATAGTAGTGCTGCAATATCTGAGCCTGTAAGTGTACACTGCACTGTGTGTACAGTATTCCTGTAGATGGGAACAGTCTCTAAGGTGGAAGAGAAGCACATCCTGTTCTTTAGCTGGTGTGCTGTAGATGACCTAAACTGGTGTGCTACAAGGCACTCTGAGTACATGATAAAAGATACAGGAATGATTTCGTCTTTATGTGAGAACTTGATGCTTCTCCTGTGTTTACACAGAGGAAACAGCATCAAAATTGCTTGCCTGTCCAGTCTTAAAAGTGGCATGCAAAAGAAAAAATGGGCAGCTGCCTTTAATTTTTCAAATGTGATCTTTTTGGAGATAGTAGGGGATTTGTGAATTTCAACCGTGAAAGCTCTGTGATCCAGTGTGGTCTTCTTTTCTTATTTGCTTTCTGACATCTAAATCTCAGTAACTAAAAGAGCAAAATTACTTTAGCTGCTGTTTAAACTAGAGGTCTTTTCCTTTCCAACATCTATTTTACTTCAGTAACTCTTTGAATAAAACTTTTGCTCGTCAAAAAATCCACACAACCCTTTCAGTGGAAGCATCAGAACTCAGGGAAGGGTTGAGCCTGTTTATGAGGTGAAAGGCAGAGATGACACTTAGGATATTTCAAAACCTTGTGGTGATAGGCACTCTTGGAAAAAAAATTAGCTTTCAGATTGATATGTACAATTTTTTGAAGTGAGTTATGCTGGTGACTCCAGAGCTGTCCTCAGAAGCCTGTCTTTCCTGTAAGAAGAGGGTTTTTTTAATTCCATATTTCACACTGCCTCCCTGCCACATTGCTTAAAAATTACTCAATGTAGAAAATACTATCAGATTTTTATCCTGGGGAAGAAAATATATTCCTTTCTAAGCTCTTTTTTTGGTGAAAACACAAAATCATATTCTTTTAAACTTACAGGAAAAATAAAATTTTTGGTCTGAGGCAAAAATCTTAAAAAGCTTCTGGCCAAAGACTGAAGTTTAAATTAGTTCTGGAAGCCTCAAAATAATAGAAGATGTGTGTAGTAGATATTGTTGGAGTTACAGACCTGCCAAGTGAAGAGTGCACACAAGGAGCATGACCTTTGCACAGTTTCTGCCTTCTTGTCTACAGGAGAGAATTTGGTAAAAAGTTGAAAACTGGGAAGTGGAAGTTGGTCTTGTGGAAAATGAGAAATGGAGCTAGTGGGTCTTACAAAAGCATCCTGTGTTACTTGTAGTAATGTGTGCCTCCTTTATTATGAATTCTCCAAAGACAGGATCCTAATTGTACTTGTATGTATATGTGTATAAAATCATACTTGTAGTGTCATTCTATGTGTGTAGATATGTATGCACTCAGTGTAATTTTTTGGTATCTAAATTATGTACGGCTTACATTTCCTTTCAACATGCTTTGTTTCTGTTTCAGTACATGAATTTTATACCTGAAGGGTTGTTTGAAAACTCTTTATTATAGTGAAGTGCATTTCAGCCTTATTCCTTTTGACAAGTCCAGCCTCATGGAGAAGAAAACCCCTAAAGGTGTCTGTGTGTGCCTGTGTTTCAGATTCATTCCCGAGTCCCCCCGCTGGCTCTATTCCCAGGGCCGTCTGAACGAGGCGGAAGATGCCCTCTACCTCATTGCCAAGAGGAACCACAAGCAGAAATGCACTTTTTCATTAAAACTGCCAGCAGAGAGGAGCTCCAGAGAGGCTGGCAGCTTTCTGGACCTGTTCCGATACAGGATTCTCCTGGGACGCACCTTGATCATGATGTTCACCTGGTACTGGGAATGCTTTGTAGGCCCAGCTGTGCTGCTGCGACCGCTTTAAGTCTTTGAGAGAATGTGGTGCTGGGAATTGCCTCATCCTACAGATTGTTAGGGACACTGTACCTAAAAAGGATCCTTTATAGTATTTAAGTATCTATTAGAGTATTTCCTTAGTACATTGCTAGCACAAAGCCATTTTTACAGTCCAGTTCTGAGGTGTTTTATCTCTGCATTTCGGTCTTGTGTTTTGAGTCTCAAAATAGTTGAGAACTCCCCTTTCTGTTCTGACCCACAAGACTGCTGAGATTAATCACAGCGTCCTCCTTTAGGCCCAAGGCTGTCAGTATCTCTTCTCCTGGATTATTTCTTGTTTTGTGTGTAAGGAGCCCATTAGCAGGTGGGTGGCCTACCTTGTCTAATGAGTAGACATTGCAGGCAACAGTTCTTAAGAGAAAGTGCTTGCTGTTGCTGCAGTGAGGAGCAGGAGCCTGTGATGCTCCCTCCAGTTACTAGCAGAAATTTAACTCCAAAAGTGCCTGTTGGTTTTTGGTTTTCTTTCAGATCTCTTGGTAGCTCTGAGGTCTTTTGCTGCTTCTTTAAAAAAACCTTATGTGTGACATAGTATGCAGGTCCTTGGGCATGACTGCTCATATAGTTGCTTGTATAAGGCATATATTTGGGTAAGATGCGTCAATTAAGAATAAAACAAATGGTTTTGTCAGCATACAGCACTGAACTGTTTTCATGTTGCTTTTCAAAGTGCTAACTGCAGAATAAATAGTTGATTGCTCTGTTCCTTAAATGAGAATGGCTGATTTGCTGCAGAACAAATTCATGACCAGTTTCTTTCCTCTCTGTAAAGACAACTCCCTTTTACAGGGGTTAACATGACAATAGGATTAGAAAAGAAAAGTTAACAGATTTGGAGAATGAATTAATAAAATGGGACCAGGGTGTAGAAATTAAAAAAAGGTTCAAGTGTTGTTTGAACTGCTTGAGAAATTTGGTTTAGACACAATTGGAAAAAGTGTGGATGAAAGTGTAACCTGATAAAAACAAAAGGGATAAGAAGTTAAATAATAAATATAGTCATGATTGTATTTTTACTTTATACTGGTTTATGCATGTTGTTCATAAGTGTAGTTTTAAGTTTTACTCAGTAGTAAGTCAGGAATTGGGTCTTTGCTGGGACAAAATGGTTTATTTGCCTAGAAGGCATCATACACTTAAAGGGAAACATTTTACACCTATCTGCTGAAACACTAGATATAGTTTATATTGTATTGTGCCAGACCAGTACTTCAATTTGGCAGGCAAAGTGTCAGCTCTGATTTCACTTTTTTTTTTTTTCTCCTGTCTTTTGCAGGTTTGTGTGCAGCTTGGTTTACTACGGTCTTACCCTTAATGTGGGTGACTTAGGCGGAAATATTTATGCCAATTTAGCCCTGTCAGGCTTGATAGAAATCCCAGCATACCCAATCTGTATTTACTTGATTAACCAAAAATGGTAAGTATGGAATTTATTAACCCATTCAGGATTTCCTTATAATATTTCTCAAAGATAGGTTTTCTGTGTATCACACCTCCTAGCTTGTATCTGTTGAGTGGGCTTTACACTTCGATGTGAACGTGCCATTGATTTATGTCTGTTTCAAATAGCAGTTTAACTTGTTTTCAGTCACACACCTCACGGTGAGCCATCCCTCTGGCTTGGGTGGGGTTGATGTAGCTGGGAGGAAGCTGCTCTGCCTGCAGGCTGACACTAGATAGCGTCCTTCCCACCGCTGCCCCGTGATCCCATCCTCGCTGCTGGGACAGAGCTATCCCGACTCCGCTCTGCCCGGGCTGTGCTGTGGTCTCCTGCAATAGCAATACCTCTCTGAGCAACTGTGAGAGCAGAGCAGATATTCTACCTTTTCCTGAACCACGATACATTGAGAGCCATTGTCCAATGCCTCTCAGTTTTTGTAGAATTTCCTCCCAGTCTCTGCTCTGTGTCTCCTGAGGAGTTTTACAAATGTCACACACAGCAGGAAGCAGCCCCAAATCCTAGAAATTGTCAGTCGCTGTATAAAGTTGGCACTCATTTTGTTAAGTGTGCAGCAGAAGCTTGTTTAAAAACGGTGTGAGAGGAGGTGTTGGTGGAAGATGGAAGTCAGAATTCCCAACTGCAAAGAAAGAGTCAGTGTGAATTCAGAGGATTCATTACTCTGCAACCCACAAACCTAATGCAGAATGTAAATATAAACCTTTGTTATCTTTGTGTATCAGGTTTGGTCGGAAGCGAACGTTGAGTGCATTTCTCTTCCTGGGAGGATTGGCCTGTCTTATTGTCATGTTTCTGCCTAAGAAGAGAGGTAAGTAGTTTTTTATTTCTGGAGTATGTGATAAGAACTGGTAAAAGCAGCATCCTACAGCATAACAATTTGATGGCTGCTGGAAGATTAGGCTCATACCATATGTGAGTCTCAATTTTTGAAGCTGGAGAAGCTCATTTTTCTAATGGGCCAACTCATTAGAAAAAGAACAATAAGCATTAACCTCCCTAAGACCTTAGAGAAAACTTGTTAGTAAGATTTGGATTTGAACTTTTGCCTTTGGATTCTGCCCTTTACTTCTGTTCACATTGGTTGCTTCTTTCCAGTGTTTTTGACATAATCCCAATGAATTATGTTCTTGCGGTATCTCCAACAGCTAGATGACAGGTTAGTGTAAGTGGTACCCATGCAACTTGGATATAACTCTCCAAGGGGAAGATCAGTATTAGAAGATGTGAAGAACTGAGTGATGGAGCAAGTTCCCATCTTTCCCACGCTGCTCTGTAATATTCAAAAGTAGTGTGGTTGTGGCAGTAGTAATGTGGCCACATAATTTACAGCTCAGGAGAGCATTCTGATAAACTTCTGAAATGGGGAGTCTTTAAAAAATGTGAAATTTAACATCTTTTGTGTGAAGATGCACTAATGTTAATTTTCAGATTATGTAGCAATTTTTCTTTTTAAAACCAGATAGATAAATTCACCTTGTTTGTAAGATCTATGCATGTATATTACCTTTCATAAAGTAAGAGAATGTTTCAAATGCTTGAAGAGTGATTCAAGAAATTAAACATCTATGACAGAGTACAGAATTTGCCCTAGATGGCAGTGGGTCTCATAGGTAAAGCTTTTTTAAAGGGATGCAACTTAAGTTTTCAGAATTTTTCCAGCATGGACAATTTGAAATATTCTGGTTTGCCTGGTACCAGTCACCAAGTATTTTTTTCATGTCATTCCAAACATAAGATGTGAAAAGAGAGGACAGAACCATGAGACCCCAGGAAATCAGCTGTGTACTGAACTGCCCAAGTCAGGCAAGGGTGAAGTGCTTGGGGAAGTGAAAGGGCTCACTGGCCAGAAGCAAGCACCTGTCTTCACTGGGCATGAGCTCTGATTTGCCTGTTAAAAGCAGATAAGCACTGGCTGTTCTGATAAACTAAGCTGGATGGGAATTTAGTATGATTCTTCGCAGCATCTTCCTTTCAAAGTAATAATATTAGAAGAATATTGTCATGCTGTAGAAATGACAATGAATACGTCTCTTGTTAAAAAAAAAATGTACTCACTTTTGGAAAAGGTATCTGTTATACTATTCTTGAACTTTCTTATAGAACTCATTTAGTATTTAATTAGTGGTAGACTGAAAATACTGTTGTAGCTTCAGCTTTTAGATTGTTCACCAGATTCCTTTTCACACCATACTATTGTGTGATTGAAATGCTTTGAGGTGTATTGGAGTGCTCAGAAGCCTTACCAGGGTCACATTTTCTGTCTCAGATACTGGAGTGTTTGCTGTGGTGAACAGTCGCTCTCTGTCTTTGCTGGGAAAACTGACAATCAGTGCTGCTTTTAATATTGTCTACATCTACACATCAGAACTTTATCCCACAGTCATAAGGTAACACAAGTTAATTTTAAGTCTTCGTTTTTCTGGTTCTCTTACATGATCATCTTTTATTTCTCTATTTTTTTTTCTATTAACTATAGTTTTTAATTTGACTTTTTCAGTCACATATAAAGGTTAGATGTAGTTTTACGTCTGAAATTTTTCTCCTTATCTTCTCACTCCCTCTTCCATCAAGTTTGCAGCATTCTCTTCAGACTGAGTGTATTTTTATGTAACAGTAAAATAGACCCTTATCTGCTTGGCCTGCTTACAACTCCCTTCTATAATGAGGGTAACTGTAGCACTGCAGATATTTCTTTTAATGAGTGTTTTATAAAACCAGACAACTCTATCATCATACATGCTTAAACAAGAACATTGAAGATGGCTGGTTAATAAACTTTGTTGAAGTAACTTGATGCTTCTCAGGCTGTGTGTGAGCAACAGTAGGGGCAGAAGCACCCCCTGCTTCTGCTGACAGGGAAGACAGGAGCTTCTGCCATAGAGGTGCATATGGTGGTCAGCCACCAGTGAAACCATGCTGTGGTGTTTTTCATCAGTGGGTAAATCTGATGATAAGTAGGATTTGAATAAATGAATTCAGCCAGAGTGTTAGACACAGGCCAAATGCATGAACTGAAATCACACTTGTTTTGCCTATGTATGTATGTAAAAATTCTGAATCTAAAGGGGGGTTTTGCTTCATTTTAATCACAAAACCCACGTTTCATTCCTGTCTTGAGATGCTTTCAGTTACATTTGACTTTCCTTTGCCAATTAATGTGCTCAGGATAATGACTGATGAATCTTTTTCCTTGCTCAGTAACACTTTTCAAAAGATTAATTCTTTTTGGTTTTTTCGTAGGAATGTTGGAATGGGTGCCTGCTCCATGTTTTCCCGTGTTGGTGGCATCATTGCGCCTTTTGTCCCTTCATTGGTTTGTCTGAACTTCTGTTACATATATTCTTGTTTTGTGGTGTATCAGAGGCTTGCAGAGATGGGAATGTTTGGGATAAATTTCATTTATAAATTAAGATGCATAAGTTGCCTGTCTTAACAGTATTATGGTAGGCCAAAAGAATTGCAGTATCTTCTGTGTGATTAGACAGAACCTCAGCATTATTTAATTTAGAATGTATTTTAGCTTTATAGGAATTTTGGGACCTATCTAGTGGACCTTAAAATATAATTATTTCAAATCACCAAGATGGTGATACCAAATTTTAAACCCTGCACAAGCAATAGCAAAACACCCATGTGGTTAAAAGAACTACTACATCAAAATTAAGCATATGGGCTCGATAACTCATATTTTTGAGAAAAAGTTTGTTTTAATGTCAGTACACTTCATTAAATATCCATGGGTTATAAATATCAGCAAAGCAGTTTACCTTTCAGTAAATGAAAGTGATGTGGAGATCTGATACACTGGCAAGGCAAAGAAAGATTTTAAAGAACAAAACATGGGGATGATACCATTACTTTCCTGTGCTTAGTGTGTTATGTGTATGCAGGAAAAAGTGTGCCAGTTTTTCCCAGCTGTTTGCTGAGGCCCCATGACAATTCCTTTAATGTGACAGATTTCATTTCAGTTAATATTCCTCTCTGCCATTTGCCATTTTACATGTGAGGCAGAAGGTTAGCAAAAAGGCAGGTGAGCACAGAGAGCCTTTTAATCTGCAGAACGAAGCACTGGGCAGGTGAGAGTGTGAACACCTCTGGGGAGCAACAGGCAAAGCCAAGAGCGCTGCCAGTCTACCAGGTGGATTTAATAGGCAGCTTTTATGTAGCAGTTGGGGCATTCATTATATTGTGTCTGCCAGAGATTTGATACTGCATGAGACCCAAATCTTGGATCATAATGTTTGAAGGGGTTCCATGAAAATGAAAGTAGCTCTGGTTGCATAACAAATGAACTCTGATTTGAGAAAATAATCGGTAATTTTTGTGTTTCACCATTTCTTCTGGTATTTTAAAGAATTCTGTGTCTTTTGCCTGGAGATCTCATAATAGTAAAAATAGGAGAAGTTAACTGCTGAGATAAGAGATGAATTGTTGGTCTTTTATTTGATCGCAGCCTGTTATTTTCATGAATTTAGAATTGCTATCTATGATGTGAGTTTTTGAAACAAACAGCCAAACTCCCTGTTTTAAAATGAGCCTTCTTTACTGTGAAAACAGGGACAGGCATCAAAAGAGAAGTATAAACATTGCTTAGGCTGTTACAGGTGATGCCAGGAATGCCAAAGCTCAGTTGAAGCTAAAACTAGCCAGGAGCATAAATAGGGATTCTGTCAGCTAAAGAAAAATATGTCTGTGGATGAATGGGAGGGGCATCCCATTGGTGGGTGACATGGAATAAGCTGAAATAGTTGTGCTTCAGTCTTGAGAGACAAAGCTTCTCTCCAATACTCTGCCTGTCAGCACAGTTGAGGAAGCAGAAGGCCAGCAAACAGTAGGAGGAGCAATAGGTTCAAGAACACTTAGGGCTGAAAGCTTTCCATTCCATGGGGTAAGATTCCATGAGAATGGTTGTGATAGTGGAGCAAGTGTTTTCATCATCTGTGGGAAACCACTATTGTAGTGAAGGATCCCTGATAGCTGTGGGAGGAAAAAGGCTCATCCTGTGTGTGTCTTCAATATCAGAAAGTGTGACCCAGGTGTGACAGGCTGAGCACCTCTAACTCAGTCTGTGGGAAGACTGAGACATGACCTCCCAGAACCTGTTTATAAGCATGTGAAGGCAAGGAAGGTAATTGGGATCATGAACATGGATTTATTAAGGACAGTTCCTTCTCAGCCAGCTTGATTTGATAGTCAGCCATTTCATCAAGGAGGGCAGTATGGATGGGGAAAGGGAGGAGAGCAGGGAAGGCCTTTGACAGTATCCCACATTGTTAGCGTATGTTTATCACAGGTTTTGGCTTCCAAAGAAATTTGGAAAATAGTGTTTTTGAGAGGCTTAAAGCAGCCTGGAACAATCTACTTGGAGGGGAAATCTCCATCCTTGGAGATTTTTTGCTGTTTGATTATGTGAAGCAGTGATTGAGCTTATCTGATTGAGGCTGTAATTGTGCTTAGACTAGGTGGTTGGCCTAGATGACCTCAAGAGATCTCCAAGCAGCATGTTTGTGTTTCTGGGGTATCTATTCCCTTCTACAGAGGAATGTTACGTTTGCTTAAAAGTACATAGATTAGAGGGAAGAATTGAGTTCAAATTCAGCAGGTGTTTCTTTTAAAGTTCATTACAAAATCTGTGGGGTTCTAATAGTATTGACAAGGTACAATTGGCAATACTGGTAAAAAACCAACCAAACAAACAAAAAAACCCATGGCAGAAGGATTGGTGACTTTTGTGCTGAATAGGAACACAAACACTGCCAGAGGGAATGGTTGTAAAGGCTAAATCCTTTAATATGCAATATGAACTACAAGGAACCAATCTCAACCTAACTCTGTTATTTTTTCCAGAAATCTGTTCAGTGGTCTCTGCCTTATATTGTGTTTGGAGCAACTGGTCTGTTGTCCGGGCTCTTAAGCTTGTTGTTGCCAGAGACCTTAAACAGCCCTTTGCTAGAAACTATTTCAGACCTGCAGGTGTGCTCCTACTGGAGGTTGGGTGATGAAGCCATGTCACTGCAAGCCCTAGATGGCTCACAGGTACACTAATTCTTTTCCTGATACTTTTCTGTTGTGTTTATATCAGCTGTCAGCTTGAATCTGCCACTCTAAATAGATTAGGGTAGTGATTCTTGGCCTGTGGAGGATAGGCCCCAAGGAGAAGATAGTGTAGCAGCCCTACCATCATGTCTGAAATGTTTTCTGGAAATGCAGGCTGAAATATAGCTGGATTAATTCATCCCTTCAAGGCCACAAGCTTACATCATTTCCCTTTGGGATAAAGTGATGTCTGTGCGTCTCTAATCTCAAAGACTGATTGCTACAGTGTGCTTCAGCCAAAGCTGGACACTGAAGCTTGAGAAGCCTTAGATGGTAACAAAACCAGAAACCTGTTTGTGAAGGGCTGCTCTCAAAGGCAGCACACTACTTCTGACCTGCCCCAGCTGTTCTGCAGTGCCAGTTACCAGGTCTGTCCTAGACAGGCTCTGAATGGGTTAAAGCCAGACTAACCTCTGAGATCTCTCCCACTATTGACTCTGGGAAATGAGATTCATTGAAAACACTGGAACTACAAAACTCCCAGATATAAGTATAAATAAATGTGGCAGCAGGATGTTTTTCAATGAGGTTTCCTTGAACTGTGATTTTCAAATCACTTTATTTTATTAAACTCCTGGACACCTCTCTGGATGCCTGTATCTTCCACTCACGTGGAGGTTTTTTGACATGGTTAATTCTCTGTGAATGAAGTGGGATTAGAAAGACGTGGCTAGAGAGCTGGGAGTGGATGTTTGAATCTGGTTAAAGTTTTAAAGTTTAAATCCTGGTCCTAAAACTTGAAGTATGGAGGGACTTAAAGAAATAGAATAGGTAGTCAGAAGACTTGAAGGGAAACTCGTAACAAACAATGTTAGTTGCCCCATTAGGCTGAGATGAGACAGGATCATTTTAACACCTTTACTTTCATTTGAATAGTTGTTGGTCAAGCACTCTGACATTCACAGGTAGTCATATTTATTTTCACAGAAATCACATACCTCTAGAATAGGAATAGCTTCCTATCAGAAGCTTCGATGCGTTGCCTTGTTTACCAAGTTTAGCTGTAATAGTTCTTGATAGGACAGCACAGTTTAGTGACAAAAGCACCCTTGAAGAAAGGCTGGAAAAGGCAGCCCTGTAACCATTAATTTTATACTTTAGCTACTTTACATGGTTATTTTATAAACATTTTCAACCACACTGGGTAACGTGTTATGGCACCACGTTCTTGCTGACTACACAAATCCATCATATACGTTGACATCAGCTGTTATTTTGGTAATTACACGATTATTACGTCTTAATTGTGCAGATGGTTTACCAATGAAAGCAATTTTTGTAAGCAGTGCAGGTGCTCCAGCTTACAGGTGGGAAGTCACATTTTTCATTTATTCTTTAACCAACTGCAGTCATTAGTTGGTTACCCTTTGAGGTGACGAGTATTTTCTGTTAGTATTCCCACAAATTGGTTAGCTTATGTCAGTCAGTCCTCTCAAGTTTAAATCTTCTTTGCTTGTCCTTCTGTAGGCTTCTTAAAAATCCCAACCTGAACAGGACCCACAAAAGGGGACGTTGTTCTGAATGGTTTTCAGAAAGATTTTGCCCAGGATGGATTAAAATTACTGAATCTGAATGAAAAAGTCATTGGTTCAGGCCTTAACTAATCCTGTAACTTCAGTGAAGTTATATCTGGAATGCATTAGGGATTTATTTTAAAGCTCACAAAGAAAGTACTGATAAAATGGGAAGCTGTTAAACATTAACCCTATTTGACAAGGCCATGAGAGGTCTTATGAAGATGTTGCGAGAAAGATTTAGAATTTATTTGGCATGCCCTGAATTCCCCCTGTGGAATCCATTGTCCTTTTGTACCATTTTCAAGATAACATGTGTTCTGATTGCCCAGAACGGAGGTTTTGTTCCTGTTAACATACATGAATGTGATATTCAAGTTGGGCAGCATCCAGTAATAGCCTGACTTTCCTCACATAGTTTTAGAAGTCTAGGGAAAAAAAAGCCTAACACAATTCCCTTTACATCTTCTGACAGGTCGTAGTGCTCAAACTGTTTGAAATTCCTTTGCAGTTAACGCACATTGCCGTAGCAAAGCTCCTCTGAAGAGAGGTCTAAAGCTACAGATTTTGCTTGCATGGTACTGTCAGTCAGGAGTACTATTTCCATTTCTCTATTTTTCACCCTCTCTCTCACCCTTCTTAGCATATGACTAGGCAGACAGAGGTCTTAGGATGGATGCAAGCATATTGGGGAGAAAATCCTAAATAATCAAATGAGATAGAACTTATACTAGCAGGAGAACCTTTTTAACTGGAATCGTTTGTGTCAGTTCCATGGAAAAACGCTGCACTGGCCAAATAAAAATCAATTAGCTGTAATAGCTGACTTTATTTTGGGGATGTGATATAAATTATGTTGTGGAAAGGACTCTGACTGGAGTAGGTATGCCTATAATAGGGATATTACCTTCTGAACATACAGCACGGTAATGATTTTCCCTTTTCCATAACACTTTCATTAGTATTGCAGGGGAATCTTTTTAATTCAACTTGCGCAGTAAAATGTCCATGCTAGCCAAGGAAAAAGTATGAACTGGGGATGGAGAATCTTTACCTAAATAAGTAATATGTGTTCTGAGCTGTGGTGAGACTATTATGTTTCCAGTAGCTCTCCACAGAGTAGGCACCTTAGACTAAATTTAAGAAAACTTAGTAGATTACCACTTCAGAACCAGTCTAGCCAGTCTCTCCTGCCTATATTCTCTAGTGTACTGGTGAAGCAGAGAAAGTCCATCCACTACAACCCCATGTCTTTTAAAGATATTTTGAGGAACCAAGGATTTGAATCTGAATTCACATAATGTCTTTTATAAAGTTTTAATACAGGGGTTAGACCTCTGTTTTCTTACTTTTTCTATACCAGCATTCCACATAAGTGTAATGGTTCATGCTCATGTATGTTGAGATTGATTTAGTGGCTTCAGTCTAACAAACAACTTCCTTTTTGCTTCTAGTCTGGAGACAAAGACAGCTCTACAGGGAGTGGAAGTGAAGATGAGGAGTTTTATGATGCTGATGAAGAGACTCACATGATAAAGTAATGAAAAGAAGAAACACTGGCCTATTTTATGCCTCTTCTTGCCCAGTCAGTCCAGCTGTATGACAAGTACTTGTACTGTATGACAAGTATTGCTTGCCAGGCAATGTAATTGGGCAAGTGCCTATGTTTTTCCTTACTTGGAGAGGGATTTGGGTACTGTTCAGACTGATGACATCAGTGATGTTCTCCATATGACGCAGCCATTCCAATTCTTGTGGTTCAGAATACAGTGCATGGACTGCATTTGAAGCCAGGTGAGACAGCCGGAGTGAGATGATGTATTTCAGAAGCCCAGGAATAACCTAGGCTTAGACAAATTTGGAGAGATCATCAGTGTGTGTGTTACTATTTTATTCTCAAGGTGGTGGATTTTATTTCAGTACAAATTGGTAAACTTGGAAACAGCCACTGTATTTTCCATAAGGGTGAAAGTGGTCAGAGAATGTGCTATGTGCTACTCCAGTGGGAACAAATTGCTGAAATTGTATGTTTAAATGGCTTTTGCGTATTCAGTGGAGGAGAGGCAGCTGTGAACAAAAGGTTTCTGCGTGCACACCTACAGGTGGTTAGTCATGAGCTGGGCTTTAACTTAGTGATAATGGAAGGTTGGGAGGAAGGACTGCACAAAAGAGCGGCCACAACGCCTGCCAACATACAGGAAGTTACTGACTTTTTTCCTTCTTTTCATACACAAAGCTTTTTCTTGGTCTTGTGAATGTTTGCCACATGTTCCCCACATCTCAGCATAGCTGTTTATAGCTTCACCTACTTTTACCTTGTCCTCACTTTGCCATAACTGTTGAAGCTCAGCAACTTCTCTGTGGAGTGAAATAATTCTGTGATGGATATCGTTTCCTGGGTGCAACAAAGGTGAGGCATTTATCACATACCATGTGTGTGATGTGATAGAATGTATAGCTCACTTTTGTGGACCTGTCTGGGTCTTTATTTCTGGAAAAGGCTTAACTTTGAAGTGGTAAGAGGAACTGTGGAGTGCTTTTATATTTTGGGTGCTGTTATCAGGAAGCTGCTGGTGCTTATTTTAAAATCTTTTGTGTAGCTAAGGTTTTAATTTAAAAAGACAGCAAATCTCTTTGGACCTTTTTGGTTACTTGATGTTTTCTGACCAATGCTTGCTCAAGCACTTGGTTACTTGACCTTGTTAAGGAAAACAACTTCACTTTCCTGTTTCACTGAACTTTCTGTAGGTGCTTCATTAGAGGGATATGGAATCCCAAAGTGTGAAACATGTGGAATGTTCCAACTACAAAAATGAGGCCTTACAGAGATTCAGTTTTCTTGATGACATTGCCATCTTCATCCTCTAACTTGTGGCTTTCTCTTTGTCAAGATTGGTTTCCTTAAAATGTTAGTCTTCCTACTTTGAGTTCCTAGCAAAGTGCTCACAATGGCAGTAAATATATTTTCAGGCTCATGAGTCATTTTTGCAGATCTAAGAATTAAAAAAGGTGGGTCTAAAAATATCAAAAAGCTGTCTGCTGAATATGTCCTGGTTAGAGTGGGAAGTTCCTTTACTTGCAAGGAAGTGAAAGTAACCAGCATCTGACGTTTGCAGCCAGCTGCTTGAACTTTGTTCACTGGGAACTGTAACGCTGAGCAAAGTGCATCTGCCCTGATTGGTGCAAAGAGCAGCCCAGAGTCTGCAGTTTGACACATGCAGCATTCCAATGGGGTGTGAACTTGATCCAGGTGTTGACTGTGAGCAAAGTTGGGAACTTCAGTCCCTATGAACAGTCTGTCAATATTGTTGTGCTTTTTGCCTGTATTATTCTTCACTGGAAGAATTCTCACTCATAGTCTTCCCTTTTTTTTCCCCCACAGACTGTTGAGTAGTTGTTGTAGATGTGGCACTTTTTAACCCAGGTGGGTAGTCTTTCTGCCTTATTTGGCCCTTTTGTGTATAAGGAAATTTCACCAAATAAGGTACTCAGAAATAGTTGGAAAAGTTGGAGCTATTCAAATAGTTTTAATTTTTTTACTCACACTTTAATTTATGGACAGCTGGGAAAATGACTTTTTATTGCTGGTGGCAATCAGCAGTAAGCCTGGCAGTAATAACACGTTGCCAAGGTGTTTTTACATGTTTGTTTTTAGGTGTTTGTTGCCTCTGTTCATCTTTGGGTGTTGGGTGGAACTAGTCAGGAGCTGCAATTATCTGCCCTAGCGACCCTGTGTAATGCCTCAAGACCCTCAACAGAATTTTCATTAACAGTAGGATGTTGTAATGGTTCAGGAGGAGAAGATTACTCTCTGCAGGACCTGAGCTAGATTTTGTGAGTCTTTAAATAAAAATTAAATTTACCTCTCCACTCATGCACTTTATGGTATTGGTATACATATGTAAAATTGCAGAAACAAGAGTGAAGACAAAATTAGCAACTTTTTTGCATAGGAGTTGCTGCTCTTTTATTAACGTTAAATCTGTCCCATGCTTTTACCTTTGGAATTCTAAAGGGAATATTTAAAAAGGAGTTATGAATCTTCCATTGTTACTTTCCCATATCAGTTAATTGAGAAAGTTTAGAGGAGAGAATCCCTGCAGGAGGAGCTCAGCAGTGTAGCATCAAACTTTGCATTCCAGCTTTGTGTTCTGAAGTTCAGATCCATTAGGTGCATTAAGTTTCTTTTCTGAGGCTGTTCATTTTTAGTATGAGCTGGCCTTCTGATACAGAAACCTATAGGATCACTTTTCTTCTTACCCATGATATGTAATGCTTTACAATGTTGAGATAGTTGTATCTCAGTGTGTGAGCAGTAAGTTTGCCATGAGGAGCTACTGGAAAGTAGAACACTGGGTACATCAGTCTACTACATGTTGTAGTGCTAGGAGTCTGAGACCAAGGTTCTTGCTATAGTTTACTGCAGTGTGATAATCTTCTGCCATGTTTTTTTGCTAGAGTAGCCAGTACTGTAAAGCCATTTTCATGTTGTGCAGGCCCTAAGGTACCACTTTTCCCAAGGTGGAATTTCTTCTCTGGATTCCTTTGGCTGTGATTTTTTTTTCTTTTTCTTTTTCTTTTTTTTTTTTTTTTCAGGTAGCTCACTTAGTGGGATTATGCTAGAGAGAGGAGAGCTTTTCCCATGGTGCTGATTAGTCAGGTCTGAGCAGAATCCCAAACACACTTCACCTGCCTGGGGAGCTCACAAATGATAAGTGAATACACCTAAGAGTGAAGGAGAGTGACAGGTCATGTGAGGCAGCATGGAGGAGAATGAGCTGGAAGAAGTGAAAAAAAAAAAAATGGAGGATTCAACTGAAACACTTTAGGGCAAGGGTAAGTGAAAACACAAAATAACTGTTGGGTAGAAATACCCTTTAATACAATAAAATTTTAAATTTTTACTGACAACAAAGATAGTGTTCTCTAATTAGGAATTGGAAAGTTCAGAGACCCCTGACATACCAGAAACGTAGAAGCTCTGTGTTAAAGGAGAGCCAGAGGTGACTCTGTGTTCAGGTCAGGATGCTGAGTGAGGAGCCCCTCCAGAGACCCCCAGCTAACATGGAGCAGGTTGCAGCTTGTTTCCACCATAGTTACAGTCCAGGCTGTAAGGATGGGAGCCATCATTAGCGTTCATCAGCTCAAAGTGTGCAATCCATGCCAGCTTTTCCAAACTGTGTGGATGTTCTTAGTAGGACATGATTTACAGAGCCATGGGGAATGCAGTTGAGCCATACATTTTACAACGTATTTCATCTAAGCATGTAAAAGCAGTTTGCAAGAGAATGTTTTTCTTGCATTCAGGAAAAAGGGAAAGTATGGAAATTTTCCTGGAGTGTGTTAAAGGGAATATTAGCACTAAAACTCTTGTTCTTAAGTCTTCTGAATGCAGATAATAATCACGACTGCAGACTGGGTGAGCAGTATTTTGTTTTAGCTGAAGGTTGTGTGTTTATCCCTTTTCCCACCCCATGAGCGCTTCTCTGGCCCAGCTCTTTGACACAGCAGAATCTGTGACTGCAGACTGTGAGCCTTGCAGTAAAGATGTCAGAAAAGCCCAAGAGCAGTGCTGTCATTTGATGGTGGAAGTTAGTCTGATCTGACACAGTGTTTCTATCAGAAATGTCTATATTCAGCTGTTTACCAAACAGGAGACTTAGGGTATAGCTGTATTTTTGAGTCTCATTTGTTGTATCTTACTGCAAGATATGTGGTAGAAAGACATCTACATAAGTTAACCTCTCTGGCAGATCTAAATGTGGAATTGGAGGGTGAACAAATTTATACATAATTTTTTCATGCTGTGTATTTTAATGTATTTTAATTTTGTCTAGTCTGTTGTAGCCTTCAGATTTTCCAGGTGCTACTGTTATGTAAGGCTAGTAGAGCTGGGTAAAAGTGTACCCTGGTAGTCTAAATTTACTGAACTTTCTCATCCCAATTTTGGTACTATTCTCTGTTTCTGTCATTCTGAAAAATGCCCCTGTATTGCCTAATAGGGAACAGATTTTTTTTGTTCTAATTTGAAGTGCCTGTTTTGTGAAAGTAGTCTTTAATTTCCTCCGTCAATTTTATATGGGACTATGTGTAAAGTAGCATCACAGAATTGGATTATATGTGTGCCAAAGACAGTTTTTGCTGGAGAGCAATAGTCCAAAACTAGTTTGAGCTGCCTTTATTTAGACTTTATCCATGCAGAACTGGTCCGCAGAACTGGTATTTACAGGCATCCCTGAAACTATAGGGACAGAGAGTTACCTTTGTTTGCTTGTCTTTCATTGCTTGGTTCACTTAAGTAGCTTTTGTTTCTGAGAAACCAAAGAAATTAAATGAAGGATTAAAGTGTTCTTTTTGTAGAACATTCAAAGTTTATACCATGTAGCCATTGCAGAGAAATCTGCAGAACCTGTTTTGATTCTGAATTGCAAGTGTCAAAGTTTACTCTCTAAGACTGATAAAACCTGGTTAAAAACTGTACACTGGAATTTGTTAGTTCATTCATCAATCTTACAAATTAGCATTGCTAGTAAACAGTTTGCCTGGAGCTTCTTGGGATCTAGCAGGTTTTTATAAAATGCACACTCTGTTTGAGGCATTGCTAAATAATAATATATGGATTTTAAATCCCTACTACAGCTAATATTCACTGCAAGTCAGCCTTGTTATGGCTGCATATTTGTCAGGAAAAAAGAAAGATTATTTCTTTCAAGCCATTCTCTGCTATGTGTACACAATAAAAGGGGACCATGGGGTGTATACAGTAAGATTGTAGGATGGAATATGTTTAAATACTTGCCTGCCCTCATTCACTAAAGGTTTCTAGAGGAAATCTGTCTTTGTCATGCATGTTTCTGCATCCCACCAACACATCTGAGGTGCTCATTTTGTACCTGTTTTGTCAGGAGCCAAGCAAAAGTATGATGGTAAGAAAACCTTTGCCAGTATTGAAAGTTGTATTTACTAAAAAATCTCCTCAGAGAGGTATCTGGTACATCTATTTCCAAACAAATTTTTTAAATTTTGGAAGCCTAATTAGGAGACTTGCATTTCTGATGTTAGTCTGTAGGAAAAATCAGTTTTGCAGATACTGACGAAAACTGTTACAGAGCAAAAACTGCTAGGGGATTTGTGGTGAGAGTTGTGTATGCTTTGACTTCAAATAGGCCTCTAAAATACTGGTTTCTACTATTTGATCCCTTTTGCTCCTCAAAATCCAACCCAGATTTTATTTTATTCCTGTTAAAATTTGAGTAATGTGGAAATGAGAAGTATGTTTTTCATATGGATACTTTTATTGCACTACCTTTGCTTCCTGAATCAAATAGTATTTTGATTTTTTAGGCTACCTCTTTTATGTTGAGCTTTTTGTTGTCACTTTTGTATTTAAATGATTTTGGGGAAACGACAAAATATTTCCTTTTTTTATTTGTGTGGGAATCTATTACTTAGTCCTCAAGTCATCCTTCCCTTTTAAAGGTTCTGTAAAAGCTTTATTTAATTTAGTTAAAAGACTTAAAACTTCTGAGGATCTTCATAATTACACAGTTAGGAAATGGCTTTCCTGTATATATTGTTTGCCTTTAAAAGGGACAGAAAGCCCTTAATTCTATACTAATGTCAGCTGAAGGCATGACTTTTCAGGAGCAGTAAGTTTTGAGTCAGGGGGCTTTAATCAATTTAATTTATTGCCAGTTAGAGTTTTTTTGTTACTGCTTTGGTATTGGAATTAATAATAATGAAAACACTTAAGAAAAATACTGCTTCTTTTCTCCAGACACTGGTCTTCCTTCTTTCTACCCCATGCCATCCTCCAATTCCTTGGCTGCTTGTCATGCTCAGTCCCCTCAGAAAGGCAACAGGCAGCGCAGGAGACTGGGATCAGTCTGTTGTGCTTCTGTTTATTCACTGCTCTTTGTTTCTTGTTCTGCTGCTCTCTTGTGGGTTCCAGCACCAGCCACAGTCCATTTAGAGTTGTAGCTCCTTTTGAGTCTACTCTCAGCCTCTGCTCAGGCTGATTTTCCTTTGGTGTTTCTCCTGCTCAGCTGTCTTTCTGTTTGTCTTGCGCTGATGTGGGCTTATCCTTTTTCCTCATCCTGTTGTAGCACTGTAATCTCTTTTTCTTGGCATTTACAGCCTTATCTTAAACATGCTTTTGTCCAAGTGCCATCAGCTCCTCTGGCAGTGTTGGAGTGCAGTGAGTCAGTGCTCACTGGGCCTGAGAGGCAGTGGCCACTACCTGAAACACTGGAGGATCCATCTGAACACAGGGAAGCCCCTTTTTAATGTCAGGGAGATGGAGCACTGGCACAAGTTGCCTGGAGAGGTTGTGGAGTCTCCATGTGTGCAGATACTCAGGAGTCACTGGGACATGTCCTAGGAAGTCTGCTTTAGTACTTGGCTCTGCTTGAGCTGGGAGGTTGGGCCAGGTGACCTGCAGAGGAGGTGCCTGCCTTCCTCTGAGGATGGAGGGCACCACCAGAGGTGCCACCTCCAGAGGTGCCTTCCATCCTCAGCCGTTCTGGGATTCCTGTGCTGGCTGCTGCTGAGCTGTCTGGGACCAGCACAGGCAGTCCCTGGCATCTTCCCTCACAGGACACCCTGCCCAAGCCCTGACAGCCGTGCTCATACACCACTCCACAGGGTTTTCTTGCACGTCAAGTCCTTGGCCTGGGCTGACAGGTGGCTGGTACTGTCTTGCCTTTCTGTGTTGCTGTTGTCTTAGGTCAAGGAACTGAAACTCCTAAGGACATGAACAGACATTTATAGCCAAGCTCTGTCTGTGTACATTTACATCTTTGCTGATTTCAGAAGACAGAACTTAGACCTCCTCTTGACCAGAGGGGTAAATTACTTTTTTTGCTGCTCCACCTTTCATCATCATGAAAAGAAATCTTTATGTATTCTCTGTATGCTGTAGACTTTTGCATTGTTTTCTCATTCCTGTTTAATGTGAACTAACAATCAAAAGTCCTTGCCAGTTGAGAGCTGAGTAACAGGAAATTGGTAACGGGGGCAGGGGGAGCAGATTCAGTTCAAAAATGAAGTTGTATATAGTTGATGTGTGTACTGTTAAGTATTTAATTTGGATTAATGGAATACTGAGTGTTACAAGCATTCCCATGTTAAAATGAGGACTGATATATTTCAGAAGTACTTTCTCTTCTCTAACTGTATTAATGTGCTGTTGTTAACTCAGAGCTGTACTGCTGGAAAGTCTGTTTGTAGAATACTTCATCTGAGAAGTCACAACTGAAGACAGCGTAAGCTTTTCCACAGTAGACCTTTTATGGTGATATATTCATATGTTCTGTGAACAGCTGTTGGATCCATCTTTTTAAGATGTTCTTTGCCATAGTGAGGGGCCATAACAAATGTTGAAATATTCAGAATAATTGCACTTATCTATTCTGTTTTCTTAATGTATTTCCTATGCATACTGCCTTACCTGTATGTATTGTACTTCACTGGCGGTACGAAAAGTCAATATCAGGTTCTTCATTTAGAATGTGTTAATGAGTTTTTAAAATAATTCTGTAATACTAAATATTTTCCAGTGATCTGTCTGCTAAGAGAGGGTGATGATTGGTAAGCCCAGGTGAATTTAGTCAAAAAGTTAATATTGGTTGTCTTTACTTTCTCTTTTAATTTCTGAATTATTTCAACAATTTTAAATACATATATTTTAGGAATTTTGTAGAGGCTAACTTATGTTAGTAAACCAACTTTTAGGTGATTTGTAACAGCTCTGATACTGCCTCTGACTCGTACAGTTCATCCAATGTCTTTGTAACTTATTTTGTGCCTTTTCTTCCCATGACACAAAATGTCTCAATAAAAACAAGTTCTTTTGCAACACCACAAACCTATTTTATTGTACTGATTTTTTTACTTGCCTGACCCTTTTGTTTGTTTTCTGGAGGGACATGAAGCTCTCAGAATAGAATAGATATTTCTAATGGACTCTGCAGAAGAAAATTGACAAGGTGGAAAGCAGGTCATTTTGGAAAGGCAGTGCTACAAAGCGCCTGGGAAACTGGGACTGTCAGTACTAATCAATATATTCCACCATATCTATCGCAAATCATTTCTAACAAAAACTGGCACCAGTGGAATGTGAGAATCAATTTACTACTGGCTTCAGTTGTGCTGATTGATGTTGAAAGACTGGAAACACTTTGGGGGGTTTAGCATAGCCAAATGTCTGTGGTGGTGTTACTAACACGTACTGGGGGGGTTCCCATGAGCTCTAGCTGTCTCTTAAACACCCCTTCTTAAAGTGGATGCAGATGCACAAGACTGTGGTCCCTGTCCTCAATGCTCCTGCCAAAACATCTGTCAGGGAATGGCAAAATTTGAACATTTGTCTTCATTACCTGGCAATGAGGTGATAAATAGCTTGACTGCATTTCCTGTCCCCTGTCCAGCAACAAAGAAAATATTGTCAAAACCTGGAAAAAGTGACTGTAGGGGAATAGGGATCAGTGCTCTGTTCTAAACTGCCATTTGATTGTTTTCTCTGCCAGCCTTTGCTTTGTTAGAGAGCAGTTCATGGAGTCCTGGTAGCAGAAACTGAATAGCTCTGTGCTCCTGTGAATGTGGTTCTTCCCTCCTGCCCCAAACTGTCCCTGTCCCACCAGAGGACTGGTAGCATTATTCACCCCATTTCCCATTTGAAGCACATCTGCTTGTTTCCTTCCCTCCATGAAAACCCAAGGAGCAGAGATGGCTTGCTCCTTTCTGCACTAGCCTGGCCAAGCAACTTGCTCTGGTTTTATTCCACTATTGTTTCTCCTCCCCCACTCCTGTTTTCAGTGCCCTTAATCTGCATTTAACTAGTTCTAGCCCTGAATATCAGTCCCGTGGCCTGTCACTGCCTGGAGCAGATACAGCACAAACGATTGACCCTCTCCCTTTGGCAGTTTGGCTTTGACTGCACAAACAGCCAATAAAGGGGAAAGGGTTGGGCAGCTGATGGGAATTAGCTTGATGCTGTATAGTTTTATTGGTCTGAGATGAAGGAGGAAGTGTTTGCTTGAGAATTAAATTGCTTGCTTGCTTGCTTTCTCCTGCTACCTGCTCTTCAGATGACAAATTTTCCGAAGTTATTATCTAAAAGAATAGCATATGTAGTAGCCAGACTTAGCTTGGGCTGGAGGCTGTGTTAGCTCATGTTCCAATGACTGAAGCTGGAGTGTGTGGCTATGGAGGTCATTATCTGATCTGTCTAGAAATTCTCTGAAAATACCTGACTGAAACCTCTGTAGACATTGTGACAAGGCTTGTTCTCACTAGTTAGCTGATTATCTTGGTCTGCTTTATGGTACATGCATCATGCTTTCAATAAAAAGCAAATTATTTATCACTTCTGCTGGTGCTCTTACTGTACAGTAATTGTTCCTGCATGGGAATTGTTACCCTCTGGGCCCATGCATGGCAGAGTCCCTGTGACTCTCCTCTGCTTTCTTCCCACACAAAGCATGTAGTTGTCTGGGCCTTCCCCTGTGCTTTTCTTGAGACACTTTTACAGGAATATTGGCAAACTCTTCCTTTAATCCTGACTGCTTCTTCAGCTTCTCCTTTCTGTCCTCTCCATAGTGCCACATTAGCCCCAGGACACAACACAGTGTCCAAGTTGACATATCCTAAGGATCACCTGGGAAGTTTGGTATCTCTGACCTTGTGTAT